CAAAGTTTAGCTGCCGCAGGTCGATGCTATGTGGGGACATCTCTATCTACTGGACACTTGACAGCTTTTGAGTTAACCCTTTTAGCTTTTGGTGGATTTTCGGATTTTGGATTTTGCTTGAATACTTAATTTCATTTGATGTATTGATGCTTCTTTATGTTATTATTATTAAGAATACATGAGCACATACAAACGTATATTTGAGGACATTATATATATCAAATGAGTTTTTGAATTTTCGATACTCATTTTGTAAATTATGTATGCTCATTTGATCTCAAATGAGTTTTATATTAAACACAAATGAGTATATGAATAAAAGAAATGCACATATACAATTGAATATTAAGCACATTAAAAATGAATTTTATATTAAACCGAGATGAGTATACGCCTCAAAAATATGAACATACAACTGAATATTAAACACATTAAAACTGTGTTTTATGTTAAACTTAAATGAGTATAACATTCAAAATCAATGAGCATACACAAATGAGCTTTTGACTTTTTTTATACTCATGTTGTAAATTATGTATGCTCATTTGATATTACTTTATGCTCATTTTAAAATGATGCACATGTCAAATATAACGCCCAATATCAATGAGCATACACAAATGAAGTTTTGAATTTTTTGATACTCATTTTGTAAATTATGTATACTCATTTGGTACTGGTGCTTATTGTTGGGCTCCTAATACTCAGAAGAACAGACTCGATTCTCATCCAAATTACACCATTGCTCATTTAAGAGAAGCCATGAACTTCATCAAAATTACAAAAATGCCACCGGCTGTACGGTGTCTGCCGTACAGCCGGCTGTATGGTATACACTTCCAGGAGAATAGCCATCATGGTGTCGCCAACAAAATTTTCTTTACATTTACTCTAAATATGCGTAAATTACATGGTACAGCCGGCTGTACCGTGCGCACGGTACAGCCGGACTTTTAGATCGGAAATCGCAGGGCACTGGCTTCGTAGATCGTAGGGCGCTGGACTTCCTCTGCAGATCGTTCTCGTTCTTCGCTCTCACCTACACAGATGATGATTCTCGACAGTCGCAACCTTCAGCACGAGCGCAACACCGGCTTGAGCGGCGGCTCTTGTGGCGGCTCCTCTTGGTGTATAGCCCTAATTGCTTCTTCTCCCTCTTTCCTGCTCTGGACTCTTCTTTTTTCTCTTTTTCTTTCCCAAGTTTGATGAGTGAGTTTGGTCACTTGTTGATAGCATGTCAGAGAAATCTAAGTAATATGTAATTCTTCAGATGTGAGCATAACAAATGAAATTATGAGCACATTAGACATTTTAAATGAGTTTTATGAATGCTCATTTCATCATTTATGTATACTCATTTGATATTAGTGCAATACTCATTTTAAAATGTCATATTCATGTATGTTTCGAAATGAGTTTTATGTTAAACTCAAATGAGTATAACGTAACGCCCAAAAATAATGAACACACACAAATGAGTTTTTTAATATTTTGATACTCATTTTGTAATTATGTATGCTCATTTTGTACTGTTTCATGCTCATTTTAAAATGTTACATTTATGCATATTTCAAAAAGAGTTTTATGTTAAACTCAAATGATTATAACACCCAAAACGAATGAGCACACACAAATAAGCTTTTTAATATTTTGATACTCGGGTGGTAAGTTATGTATGCTCATTTGGTATTGTTTTATGTTCATTTTACAAAGTTGCATGTGTTAAACATACTATACTACATTAGATTCACATATTGAAATTAATTATAAACATAATTTAAGAATTTTTTATAAACAAAAAATTAATAAAAAGAAACTGAATTAGAATATATGAAGCAGAGATCACTGTGCTCGTTATTAGGCTTCTAATACTCAGAAGAACCAACTTAATGCTCATCAAAATTACATCGATGCTCATTTAAGAGAAATCACGAACTTCATCAAATTTACAAAAATGCCACCGGCTGTACGGTGTCAGCCGTACAGCCGACTGTATGGTATACGCTCCACTAAATATGCCAACTACTTATTATATATTTCCAAAATATGTACTACGGATACAATTTCAAAAACCGAAAAATTGAGAACAAAAATATATAATGTTCAATTAATATAAGATAATTTTAATCTTTAGAAAACAATTGAATCGTGAAAAATACTCCATAAAACGATTTAAAGTAACACAGTAAAATGAATTCTAACATGTTAGATGAGAAAACCACAAAAGTCGACGAGATATGTGAATACATATCAAATTAAGAGTATAGTCAAAGTCAAACAATTCTTTTTCAATAAAAAGGTTGATGTATTTGTCCATACGGTGTTGGCGTCGGGATTTTTTTTGTCATTTTTTTTTAACCCAAAGGGGAGATATAAGAGAACAGAATATCAGAACTCAGAAAGAATCAACAACTTCACCTATTTGAAACCGTCAGCAGCAAACCAACTCCTCCTAAGAAGGGCGAGGTCCAAAAGCAATAGAGTATATCAGAATGCAAAAGGCAGAACAGAATGTCCACTCTTCTTCATCTTCTTCATCTTCTAATTCACAGCTTTCAATCCAGAATCCATGGCTGTTCCTAAACTTTTTCAACCAATAAATGTTATTCACACCCTTTTCTCGTTGATCATCATTCTTTTAGAAATCCCTCAGTTTTTCTCTCAGCCCCAAAACATTCAGACATTCTATCCATTTCCCCTGCCTCCCCTCGAGCCACCGCGAGTTCCAACAAGTAGGCGCCCAGTTCATCCATCCTTACTTCCACCATCCCCTCCTCCTCCACCACCACCATCACGGAAGAAGAAGGCAATTAGAATTGCTATTGGAGTGACAGCTCCTGGGATATTAGTCCTATCAGGGATACTCTTCTTACTTTTTAGGTACTCCATGGAGAGAAGCAGTCCTACAGCTGCTGCTGGTATTAGTCCTTATGCCAATCCTTATCCTGAAAAAAGTAGTCCTGGAGATGAGTTAATGATGTTTGGAGGGATAAAGATAGAGGGGGTGATTGTTGATGAGGAAGGTCTAGATGTTCTCTATTGGAGAAATTTGGAAAATGGAGATCACAAAGGGAGTTTCAAAAGACAGGTTATCAGCAATAATAGCAGAAAGAGATCTGAAACACCACCAACCCAAGAAATCCCTCTTCTTAGAGGCCAGTCTTCATCCTCTCATCATCCCACTTGGGCAGATTCACAAAACAAAGCGCTGCTTAGACCTCCTACTTTTGAAATTGTTGTTCTTGACGAGTCTGTTGACAATTACAAACAAGATTCTGTGAGCCAACCAGAATTGAATTCTCCACCATTGACTGATCATGAATTTTCAAAGGCATCCTTCAGGGAAATTCCACTGCCATCCGCTCCATCACTACCACCTAAAGGAATGACTTTATCAGAAGGTACTTCGGGAGATGGAGAAGAAGAGGTGAAAATGGAGGCTTTGCATTGCGATGAACTTATTCATATTGCTGATCATTCAATGACTGGGGACAAAATGGAAAGTGGTTCCTTCACGTAAGCGTTCTTTACCCGTCTTCTTCTTCTTTGACTTCTTTTTTCTTCTTCGCTCTCTACATACAAATTTTTTTGAATCCTCACCAGTTACCACTTATTTGGCATTTCAGGTTTAATGGAGGTCCCCTGGATGCGCTATTTGGATATGTTGCTACAAATCAAAAATCGCCAAAAGGAGAAAGCAGCTCACAGAATAATATAGGGGACAACAAAGCAACAGGTCCCACCCCACCGACATTCATTCTCGAAACCAAAAAGTCAGAGAATATAGCAATCATTCTCAAGTCCCTTGGGGTTACACGCAGGGAGATCATTGATGCACTCAACAAAGGAGAAGGTCTGAATACAGAAACTCTGGAGAAGCTGTGCAGAATTGCCCCAACCAGAGAAGAAGAGTCAGAGATCCTTAATTATGCTGGAAACCCGACAAGGCTGGCTGATTCCGAATCATTCCTCTTTCATATCCTCAAATCCATTCCATCTGCATTCTCTCGTTTCAATGCCATGCTTTTCAGATCAAATTTCGGACCACAGATCCACCAACTCAACCAGTCTTTACTTACACTGGAACAGGCTTGCAATGAGCTTAGGGGTCAAACACTCTTCATGAAACTATTGGAAGCCGTTTTGAAAGCAGGTAACCGAATGAATGCAGGGACCTCAAAAGGAGATGCACAAGCCTTTAACCTTACAGCTCTCAGGAAGCTTTCTGATGTAAAGAGTATTGATGGAAAGACTACACTCCTCCAGTTTGTTGTCCAAGAAGTAGTAAGAGCAGAGGGGAAACGCTGTTTAAGTAGAACTACTACTAATAATGATAATAGCCCAACCAATGGTATTGCAAGCTCAGATGATGACAAAGAGAAGGAATACGTTATGTTTGGTTTACCTCTAGTTGGTGGCCTAAGTTCTCAGTTAACCTATGTGAAAAAGGCGGCAGCGATAGACTATGAGTCCATTTCTAAAACATATTTGACGCTATCATCTCAAGCATCTGATATCGGGAAATTTTTGGCACAATGTTCTGATGGAGGAAGGTTTGCAACAGAAATGAAAAGGTTTCTAAACGATGCTAAAGGGGAGATCAAGGCAGCACGTGTAGAACAAATAAGAGTGATGGAGCTTGTGGAGAGGACAACAGATTACTATCAAGCAGGAGCTTTTAGAAGTAAGACTTGGCAGCCACTTCAACTATTTGTGATAACCAGGGATTTTCTGGGAATGGTTGATTGTGTTTGTGTTGAAATTGCAAAAAACATGCAGAATAAGAAACCTGAAGGAGAATCATCATCATTATCAGTAGAGCCACAGAGTAGAGCAGTCAGGTTCCCCAAACTCCCTGCTAATTTTTTGTCACAATAGTGAAAGAGCAATCCATCTGGCTTAAGTTAAGAATCATGACTAAATGTATAGGCATATTAGAAATATTTCTTTTGATAACCATTTTATTTAGAAATATAGAATCATGACTATATGATGACCATTTTATTTATTATTTTCATGATATTACAGAGATGTATTCTATTTCCAAACATGATCTCAACGTGTAATTCACTAGTAATAAGTTTGTACAACATATAGCCTCTCAACTGAAGAAGAATAAACTTTCCACTTCCCATATACACCCATCTATCTGCAACTCTTCACAAGGCCTTTTTGACTATCTCTTTCAGCATCTTTGCAGAAACTAGCCTATGCATACAGTTTGCACTTTGAATGATCTGTAGATAAACAAAACGGCGAACGCTGGCCTAGACTATACTTGTTTACCCTTAGCTAGCTTCTCTTCCTCCACCTGTTCAAGTAATGCTTGTAGCTCTGCTTCCGTTAAGCTTTCTAGTCGTTTCTGTAAAGATTAGGAAATGTCAATATTAATCAAACATGTTTCAATTAAAGTTTTTTGTTGCTGATCGATAAAAGAAATCATAAAGAAGAAATGGAAGAGAACATTGATAGAAAACCCTGATTGTGTTAGTTTTTAGTATTTATGTTTTTACTGTTAAGTACTACATCTGTCCCAAAAAAATATTTGTCATCTCATACAATTTGAACCCTATGGGTCATCCGGAAACAGTCTCTTAGTACTTTAGTACAAGGGTAACAATGCGTACATCCGACCCCCCTTACCCTACTGAAGGTGGGAGCCTTTCCGTCTGGGGTAATGATGATGATGATAAAATTTGAACCATTATATTGATTAGTATAATATTATGGAAGTTAACAAAGAACATTTTCATATCATTTTTATATTATAAATAATTTTCGATAAAAATATATAATTGGTCAAAAATTTAAAGATGGTAAAGTTTTTTGGTACAGAAGTAGTAGTTTTACGGTATGTTGCAAACTGCAGTAGTATTTGCATATATACGGTGCATTTTTTTTTTCAATTTTATTGTAATATGATGATTTTAGATTACTTAGAAGATCAAAGGAAAGTGCAAGAGAACAAAAGGAAATGCAAAATTTTGATCCGGTATTACATACGGTTAGGTATAATCAATATTTGTTCGGTATGATTAGACTTCTTGAGCGACATGGAAAATGTCACATATACCCAGTGTTCTAAAAGGTACTAGGCGCTAGTCGAGCAATGATTGGCCGCCTCATGAGTACCCCGTCTAAGCGGGTGCCTAGGCGCCGACTATGGCGCCTAGGTATCCCCTTTATTTCTTTGTTTTATTTTTATTTCCTTTGAATTGTAAATCATTTCATTTCATTTTCATTTACCCCAGTGCCGCAAAGGCTCCCACCTACGGTGAGGTAAGGGAGGGTCGGATGTACGCAGTCTTACCCTTGTACTAAAGCACAGAGAGAACTAAAGAACAAAGACTGTTTCCGGATGACCCATAGTGAAAATTGCGTCCAAAATTGCATGGACTAACTGCTGCTTCATAACTAAAGCACAGAGAGACTGTTTTCCAGATGAATCTTTGGCTCCATTGCAAATGATGGAAATTTCCTTTGAATTGTAAATATAGTACTAAAAATGTTATAATATTTTGACAATAGAAATAGCTCATATAATCATTAGATATTATGTTTTTGTAGTAATATTATAAATAATAAAATAATTAATAGATAAATGAAGAGATTTGTGTTTTTTAGCCTCTAAAATGTTCATATACTATGTAGTACTCCCTCCGTCCTATTTTACATGTCCTACTTTCCTTATCGGGTTGTCCCAAAATAAGTGTCACGTTTCCTTTTTTAATAGAAATATGTGATCTACAACATTTCACTTTATTATACCTAAACTTCAACCACAACTTTTAGTCTTTCAACCTCTTTATTAAAAATCGTGCCATGTGCCAAGTCAAAGTAGGACACATAAAATGGGATGAAGGTAGTACATTCTAAAAAAATTGACATTTTATATTTAAAAATTATTTCGCATTGCAGGAATATGAAAGTAAAATATATAGGAATAGAATACTTATTGATCAAATGATGTTTTAAGACAAAACGGAAAAAATAAGTTGGGTCAGGACAAAAGTGAGTTCGGACTGCCTAGACAGCCGATCGATTTTTCCCATTGATTACAATGAAACGGGGTGCCCGGCCACCGCCTAGAAGGCTAGAACCATGCATATACATGTTCGGGTATTTTATCATCCCCGTTCAGGAATGACTCAATAGTCGGGCCTTCCAGGATATTGTGAAGGACACCCGCTCAAATATCCTGTATACTTGGTCTGGTGTTGAGTTCAACAATCTGATTTCTCTTATAAATTCATCCCTTGTCTTCCCAGTGGGACATCAATTATTCTAGATCAAAATGCTTCGTTAGATAAACATTTTCTTATATTTCTAAGGTTCGATTCCTATGAGGAGCTAAACCCTTTTATCTTAGTTTTGCTATATTATAGATTAGTGAATTGTTTAAATTGTGAGTTTTCCTTCTTTACCTACTTGACTACTTCTCTTGACTCTTGAGTATTAATTATATCTCTGAGCATATTCAATATATATATATATATTAAAGTATTGCTAGGTGTACAACTAGTTATTGATATCGTATTGATTATTACTAGAAAAAAACAATAAAACCGTAATTGTTTACTTGATCTTTTCAGAGTAGTTACTTTGGATTATTATTGCATGCATTTAATGTTTAGTAATCTAAATAGGGATTGATTATATTGAAGAACTAAAACTGCATTTGTTGCAGTTATCATTCCTTCATTGATTGCATCTAAGGTTCATCGCTACTATTAGATCAATCTAGAACGTTTGTTTAGATTGGCTAATAGTAAGGGCTGTTAAGGAATGTGTTTTATTATTAACAGCTATCATTGATGAATTGAAAGTTAAATTCCACAATTAAGTATTCAAGAGAAGAAAGTTAAAAGGACTACCGTGATCGACTAGCAATTCATTAAGTGGAGATGAGCAAAACCAAGTCTCAATCTCAATTGATTTATTTACTTTCATAATTCATTCATTTTAGAGTTTTAATTTTTTCAAGTTCATACAAACCTCGAACCCCCTTTTTGTTACGTTGTTTGACTAAACTCAAACGAGAAGAGTATCATTCTCTCTGGATATGAACCCTATTTCCCTATACTACAATATTAGTGATTAGCACTGAATTATATTTGGTACACGGACGATGACAGCATGCCAAACCCACAATGTTATTTGAACTATATCAGAACCTTTGTTATTTCCTAAACATGAGTGTTACTTAAAATGAACATACCTCCATGACTTTTCTCTCATACTGTCTTAATTGTTGAGCATAGGTCATTTCCTTGTTTGAAACCCTGAAGATGTATGTTGAGATCCATCCAACTGTTAGACCCAAGACCATGACCAGTTGAACTACATTTCCAGCTTGTAGTGAATCAACACCAAATAACTGCATAATGATATTATCAGCCAAGATTCATTTTAATTCTTTAAATACGAACCTGTTTTTTCTTTATTTTAGTAAGGGAACTTGAAGGGAAGAAACTAGCTCATCATGGGAGTTGATGGTGAAAAAAAATCAAAGTACTTCATAAGAGTCCATTTGGAACTTGGATAATACCAAGGACATAAAATAGAGAGGAAAATAGAAAAGAAAACTTGAAGGAAGAAAAGCTGGGAGAAACAAAAGATAACCTCAAACTGAATAAAACTTCTTTAGATATTTGATCAAAAATCATTTTATTTATTTATTACTATTATATAAAGATCACATAATCTAAATACATGTGATATTTTTAAAAACGAAATCACTTTTCATTTTCCTTTGTGTTTTCCAAGGTAAACCCAAACATTCAATGATTCAAATAATAACTTTCCTTGGCTTTTAATTTCCTTTATCAACCACTTTCCCAAAGTGAAGCAAAAATCTGCAGTACCTCCAATCCACTTTTTAGGCCATAGCCAGCAACTGTGAGTCCAAGTCCAATTAATAGAACATCCTTTCTCGTGTATCCAAAAGGTATCTGCATTATGATCACATCACTAGCATAACTAAGAACAATAACAAATCTCTTCAGCTAATGAATATATATAAATCTGCAACTACATGTTAATACGAGTATAACATGAGTTATGTGTTAGGAGAATCATTCTTCTCCTAAAGTAGAACTCACTCAGTCTTACTAAAACAGTAAAAGCAGCTAAAACTTCTTCTATGAGGAGTGAAAGGGTCTTACCAAGGAAAAACAATGTCGGTCAAATTGAGAAAAAGAGAAAATGTGTTATGTCCTTGTCCTATTTATGGATTTTTTGTAATGATCAACACTAAGATAGAAAAATCTCTACCATGATAAACGAAGATTGACATAATTCAGAATCTCTTTCTTGTCCTCAAACATTAAACAGAAATACTCATTTAGCATACTTTCCTCTATCAATTCAAAAAGTAGTTCATACATATCCATACCGATCCTTTTCAAATCAATAAGTTTTGTGATATAAAGTATCGTATGAAATATAAGATTAGAAAATTACAACAGTTACAGACTTTGACATCGATTTAAAACTAAAGAACAGTTTCAAACTAAAACTGCATTTCAAAATACTTAAGCAACAGCAGTAGCTGGAAAGCACAAAAGATTCATCAAAAATGAGAATGAAGAGAAAAAAAAATCCCATTAAGTTAATAGTAAGAACCTTATTTGGGGGTGGGGGCACACATGAAAAAGGGAGCTGCTTGGGTCAGACTTACCTTATCTTTTTTAGGGGATTTATCATTACTGCTATTCGAGTCTAAACTGCATTCAGGTACTAGTATATTTGATTCCTTTGAAGTGGAGTATGATCTACTCAATAGAAGTGTGGAAGTTCCAATTCTAGAAAGTCTGCGGGAGGTACCATTTCCTGTATGGAGATCACAGAAAGTTGTAAATGACCATTATCCTGATCAAAGCTAACACAAGGTAATATTCAGTCACAGCTGCATAGTTTTCCAATTTCAGTTAAAAAATTGAATGCTGTAACTATGGAAGAAATTAATAATCTGCAAGGCTATTCAGTTGGGGTATGATAATATTCTATGAAGCACTATTCTTCACTGACGGATACAATTAGGTCTGGAAGAGGGATGAATAGAAGTACTGTATAGAGTGCAAGAGCTTAAAAGTTGCACAATTTTGTTGTGATCAAGAATGTTTTTTTGATATCAAACACTTCGCAACTCATAAATATTCTTTTCAAAAACAGTCCTTTTACCTCATTCAGAAACACCATTGAATATCAAGGACTTGCAGTTAAATTTCAAATAATACGTATCAGTGATCTCTACCTTCACCAACCAAAATTACCATTCAAGAAGTAACAATTAATACAGTATATGACTCAGCAGTGACAAGTGACAACTAGTTCCAAGCAGGGGACCGTGCTGAGAATGCGGGCTTGATGCAATAGAAATAATGTGGGCATACCCATTTTTAGACCATTATATTTAACAAAAACAACTCAGAGAAGTCAAAAAATAAATAAAAATAACTCAGAAAGATGAGAAAAGGATAAGTATGACATTCATACCCAGTAATACACTGATACGCATAATGCATAAAATTTGGCCTAATTGTTTTAACTTTAGCCTAAAAAACCACGCACACAAACGTTATGATCATATTCATGTGTGGGGAATATTTTTGGTAATATCGTATGGCCGAATCCAATTGTTTGAGCAGCTTTTGCTCAGAGACGTCCTTGCTTCCAACTCCCTCAAATTTCTCTCAAATGAAAAAAAATAAAAATATAGTACTCCCACCGTCCCACTATTCCGTAATTGTTAAAAGGAACCACAACACAGAAATGATCAGTAACAGTTCTACAAAAGGAAAACAAATTATAGTCTATCATAAACGGAATTTGAAACTCTATAATCTAAGTATCTGGGATATATAGAGAGAAATAAAGGAATTAAAACTGAGCTGGAGAAACAAACACGCAGACCTAGTTTCCTTCTTGACTCCTTCAACGGAAGAACAGGTAGACCCAACACAGAAACCACCCTGATTTTGCATATAAGGCAGCTATAGGCGCCAGCATATGCCGTCGAAGCCATTTCAGCTAGCTTTCTTCACCTGTAAAATGAAATAGTTCTAGCTCCGCGGACAAAGCCTTGATTGAGTGGCTGAAAGCCGTTATCCAGGAGGGGATACCCTGAGTATTATCATACTTGCTCGGTTAAATTATCCGGTGTTACTAAAAACGTTTTTCAGTTTTTGTCTTAAAAAAAAGTTGAAAAACCTTTTTCAAATGACAGCTTTTGCTTAAATTAATCACTTAAAAGCTAAAAGCTGGAAGCAGGTAGAAGAGTGCTTTAAACTGCTTCTCACTTTTTCTATTACACAAAAGTACTTATTTTACCAAACACTACCAACTTTTACTTTTTCAGAATCATTTTTTTCTCAAACACTACCAACTTTTACTATTAATCACTTTTCCCAAAATCACTTTAAAAAATCACTTTTTTAAAGTTGAAGCAATTGCAAACACTCCCTAATGCAAACACTCCCTAAGGGAGTGTTTGCAACTTAAAAAAGCACTTTTGGGGATGTAAGGAAAAAATGATTAGTAGTAAAAGTTGATAATGCTTGAGAAAAAAGTTATTTTGAAAAGTAAAAGTTGGTAGTGTTTGGTAAAATAAGTGCTTTTTGTGTAATAGAAAAGAGAAAGACATTTTTCACACGCAAACTGAGAAAAAGTAAAAATTGGTCATTTCATTTATCTCAATGCCGCAAAGGCTCCCACCTACGGTGAGATAAGGGAGGGTCGGATGTACGCAGTCTTACCCCTGTACAAGCACAGAAAGACTGTTTCCGAATGACCCATAGTGAAAATCACTACAAAATTGCATGGACTGACTGCTGCTTCATAACAAAGAAGCGCAGACAGTTTAGTGAGTCATTTTGCTTTATTCCATCATATTCTCAAGCCAAAAAATAATGAATCTTTGGAGAGTTTTATTCCGTATTAATGCTAATTAATTAAGTATTTACGAAAATAGGGTTGGGTTAAAAGTATTTACGGATATACTGTTGGGCTTAACCCTGGTCGGGGTAAGTCGCCAAACCGTTTGTATCATAGCGAAAAACAATTTTGATTTTATTCATGCGCAACAAAGCAAATTATATTCTAAGATCAAAGAGTTGGAGGACTTACTTGCTAAGAGAGGTCAAACAGAACAAACTATTTTCCTAAATCAGATTTTTAAGTAGGTTTCTATAGTTGTTATCTAACCTGTCTTCCAAGTTGTTGATTATTTGTTGACTGTCAGATTTGCTTATCTCAGACTCATCAGAAACTTTAGCGCATTTGTTCTTACACATTGATGAGTTAGAGACATCCATTGCTGATTGTTGAATGTTGACCGTAGACGTTAGGTTGATTGAAATTTTCTGGAAATTCCTGGACGTTGAAATGTAGCTTGGAATTTGAGAAAAGTGGTCTTAACCTTGAGTTTTTTTTTTTTTAATCTCAAGGTTGACTCTTGGAAGCTTTGATTGTAGTGTTGACCTTTGGTCTTGGAGTTTTGGACTTTGAAGTTTGAAGTGTAAGAAGGTAGATGGAAAAAATGCTCTTCTCAAGTATAGGAGAAAAAGGAATCTTTTAAACTTTCCAACACTTAAACTCCTTGGGAACTTTTGAGCCTATAAATATGAATCACTCTTCACTTAGTATTAAAAGGTGAATGAGAAGAGGGGGGCTCTAGTGCACACAAGAATTCTGACTTATAGTTCAGAATCGAAAATTCGCACCCCCTTGCGCGGGCGACCTGCGGACACGATAGTCGTAAAATTCAGCGGGTCTCAAAAGACAATTTTGCCCCTTTTTTCATTCTTTTTTTTTTTAATTTATGTGTAAGTCGCCAACCCGTTGGGCGACTTATAAGTCGCCATCCGGTTTGGCGACTTATAAGTCGCCAAACGGTTTGACGACTTACTCCGACCAGGGTTAAGCCCAGTAGTATATCCGTAAATACTTTTAACCCAACCCTATTTTCGTAAATACTTAATTAATTAGCATTAATACGGAAAAAAACTCATCTTTGGCTCCATTGCAAATGATGGAAAAAAAGTAAAAATTGGTAGTGTTTGGTAAAAAAGTGTTTTTTAAGCCAAAAGCTGAGAAGTGTTTTTTGTTAAGTTGTTGCAAACACTCCCTTGCCAAAATTTAAGAATATAAGTATGAGAATAAATATAAACTAGTTCTATTTTTCAAAACCAATATATCTTGAAGTATATATACACTCCATAACTTTTAAAAGTGCGAATTTACCTTTATATACTTTACAGATAAAATCAATTTCATAAAACGTCAAAAATAAATTATAAATTTGAAATTAAATAATAAATATTTATTATTATATTAAAATATTAACTCTTTAATTTTACGTTGCAAAATTATTATTATTCCTTTGTAAATGAACCACTTCAAATTCATAAATATTAATTATAGTCTTGTTGTGATATTTTGAACACATTGTTACATTTTTTGAAATAACATTTTTTTATTTTGTTTAAGTTTAATAAAATTAAATTCACTATTTTGTAATCTTGGATTATTTACCACCATACAAAATATGTAATTTTATAGTGCAAAGAATGAAAAAAATTAATATTTGTTTACATTGCAGCACATATGTTAACACTTTTTCAAATAATCTTAAATATATAGTAAAGTTTTGAAATTATATTTTATACTAAAAGTATTAAATTGTGATATAAAAACAATAAAAGGGAGAATTGGACACAAGTACTTTTTCAAAAAATTTACTCCCTCCGTCCCGTTTTTAAGTTCTTACTTTGACCCTCACACATTTTTAGGAATTAAATTTGACTTTACTGTTTAGACACTGTTTAAACACTGTTTAGACACTGTTTAGACACTGTTTGGACACTGTTTGGCACTGTTTGACACTGTTTGGCACTGTTTGGCACTGTTTGACACTGTTTTGATGTAGAGAAACTTTCCATTTAGGGAAATGAAAAGATAATTTTGGGATGTCCCAAAAAGGAAAGCAGGAAGTTAATAGCGGGACGGAGGTAATATTTTTTAATTTTGAATTTATAATTTACTTTTAGTGTTTTTTGAAATTTATTTTATCAATTTAAAGTCAATAAGGGTGTTGGGATATATTATCCCGATCTGTTACTGTTCAGGAGCCCAAAGCATTACCCAGTACGGAGCCTGTTCAGTCAGGCCCGTTTTGGCCCATTTTGGCCATCCGACCCACTTTGGCCCAGCAGGCCCGCATTTGGCCCTTTTAGCCCATTAGGGTGGAGAGCACCCCTCCCCCTTTCCCCTATATATAGGAGGTTTTCCCTCCATGTAAAGGATCCCCTTTTAGCTTCTTCCTCCTCCTCTCTAGATTAGCTAGCAATACTCCATTAATTGGAGTTCAATATTTGTACTATGTAATGGTGAAGAGAGTTAGGGCTTGGACATTAGCCTAAAGAGTCACATGGTTTTCTCCCTTTCGGGTTTCCACGTAAAAACAGAGTGTTCATACATATTTATATCTATATTTACTATATCGTGTTGGATTAAACTCAACAAATGGTAAATTTGATCTTTTATTATAAATGAGGGGTATTTTTGCACCTTTTAAAGGTTCAGAGGTATAAATGCGCTTCAACATATACTTTAGGGCTGTATTTGTTCCGAAAAATAAAACATAAGTACATTCGTTCTCACACTCATACTATAGGGGTATATGTGTATCTTTTCCATTTAATAATTGCGGGTACAGCCTAGAAAGGGTCTTCAAATTCATAAAAGATTATGATACTCCGTACTTTATAAGTTTAATACCTACCGGGGGTTTCAAAATATGATTTAAAACTTTGTAAACTTTTGAAATTTTAAAATACGAGTGATGAAGTATATTGTCGTATACTCCGGTATCAACATTTACGCCAAGAAATCTAAGAATATCCACTAAAGCAACTCAGGCCGATCTTGTCGAGGTTGAGCTCGAAACCGTCTCTTAGACTATCGAAGTCGAAAAGTGCAACCAAGACGGTGGTTGATCCTCATCCGAGGTTGGTAGTGTTTCCTGCCAAGCCTCGAGCCAATTCTTGTGTTATGAGTTCAAGATCAACAAAGACAACCTCACTTATCGCTGTGAGGTGAGATTCTTCACCTCCAAGTTAAACACTTATACCCCAAACTAGATGTCTATACATTTAGACCAATTTCAGGACCTCATGCGGGAGATATCCATATCAATCTTCATTTTGATTTAGGCTATTTTCATGATATTCAGCAAATCCAAATCCAAATAATCTCTCACTTTCATCCTGTGCATATTGCTAGACAGTCTTTATATACAAGAAAATAAGTCATTAAATTACCATTTGAAGATGGATGTTATTTCAAATCTTTTTCAATATCAGACAAGAAGTTCAAATACAAAAGTGTTGCATATTGCTTGCTTCAATGATCATTGTGATTAGGATGTCCGTGCAGTGAGGTTGGGTGAATGTAAAATGATTCAAACAAGAAGGTAGTTTCATAATTAGAAATAGTGAACTGTATGGTGTTTTATGTTATCTGCTCTGTTATCATATTATCATTAGAACTTTTTGTCTATTTACTGCCTACTTACTGTCTCTGTAATGTCTGTTATTTTCTAGAGTTTGATTTTGTTCAAACATGTTCTCTTGATGTCAGACAAGGCCCACCACCATCAAGCCACAAGAGATGGTAGTAACTATCATCATGCTGAGGCAACTCTTATGACCGTGAGCACATTAATCATGTTTTCATTTTAATGTCCTTTTTAAATTATTTTGCTGTTATTATTTTCGCACTATATATTCATTTTATACTTACTTTTAATTATGTGAATGCTATTTTAGGTTAAGACTGCTACTCAATTTATGCTTGGGGTGGTGGAAAAATCATCTAGAAGCAGTGCATACGTGTTGATGGTGTTACGGTTGTGGCCGGGTCAACATTGAAGATTATCGTGTTATGAATACATCTCAAAGATTTACTGTACAAATGAGCAAGTTACTATATAGAGTGGGGTGGTGCACCTTATTGGTTCTCGCTTTGATTGAGACCTTCCGGATTATGTGCAGCCCAACTACAAGCCTCACCCACCAATCCGGTAGGCCTAAAACAAGCGCTCATCTTCAATTGGAGAATTTTCTCCCCGGCAACGAAAACAATGTTCATGGTGT